ATCTAACCTCAGACGCAAACCAGTGGATGCACAGTCTGGTCTCTGGTGTGATAGTTATGCACTTCATACGCCCACCATCCATCCAAATAGCTTCTTATGAATCTGCTGATAGATTCAACTTAACCTCTCAGCTCCTTACAAGTTTATCACCTCCCCCCTTATTACAGAACATTACACTCACAGATAAGCTCCTTTAAAGTATATATTTTCAACAGATAAAAATAAAGTGACATGATGTAAACAGTGGTGGAAGAAGTACTGAGATCCGAAAGTAGCAATATCTCAGTTTTATTACAAAAAAAGACTTTGCTGAGCTAATATGAATTATATGCAATATTTGGCTAAATCTCAATACATCATATTTGATACGTTTATCAACTTTGTATGTAAAAACTTTACAGTAAGCAAGTAAGCAGCTACGCCAGCTCTCAGATAAATTGGTGGAGTAGAAGTTTAAACTAGTGTGTAGTGGAAACATTCAAGTATTTGAATAAATTACATGAGTAAATGTACTTGTTACTTTCCACCTCTGGATATAAACATATTATGTTGTGCCTCGTGAGCAGGAGTCATCCCTTTGTTGTATGAGCAACAGTTTCCATCTGGCTTTGTGGTAGATAGAATATAGTAAACATGGATTCAGTCGTCAAAAAGGTGTGACATGGTGCTGCGACACAATTGAAAGTGTCATCTTAAATGAAATGATGTTTTTCCTTCACCTAAAATTGTGTTTTGTTTTTCCAACAGCAACAATAATGCAGACCGCCTCTAGTGAAAAACACATGAACAATAAAAAGAAAACATGTTTGCAATCTACTCCACTAACCCAACTTTCTGAAACCCACAGATGATTATCTGTCCACTGTACACAAAAGCCACAGGTATGGCTGAAGCTTGCATGCCAGAGAGATAAGCCTGATGTGTAAGTGTCTGAGTTGTTATCAGTGTGTATCAGGTTAGAGTGATAGCTTGGGGTGATGCTGGGTGCTACTATTTGTCTAGCAGGAGTGGTGCTGGACAGGGAAAGAAACCAGGAGGAAGAAGCCAGAGGGAAATATAGGAAATATATAGGTAAGGTACAGCTTGGCAGCACAGTACACCCAGGAATAACGTTTGTATTGGGAGATTTTCTAAGTACGATTAACATGCATTTTGAGGAGACAAAAGAGATTCTCCTCAGTGAGACCTCAGATGACCCAGTGCTGACCACTCCCCACTGAGCATGAACTCTACGCACGGTGGAGCAAGTGTTCAAATCCCTAACGACAAATCGCCCTGGCCAAGAGAGCCCAGCAGTGCCTCTACTTCCTCTGTTGGCTGAAAAAGGTGCACCATCGGGAGCATCCTGACCAGCTGTATCAGTCTATATATGTCTGCCAATATGCAAATGTATTTTATGTACATAAATTCAATTTCCATGTATGTAATATACAGTACATTCCTATTTTATATGTACATATGAAACCTATTAGAAATTGGAACAATTTCATATATTGGCATATATATCTAGCCTATACAAATATATACATTTATGTATGCTTATATTGTAGACAGATGTTACATAATTATATATCCATCTATATGTTGACATTATATAAACTAGGGTCCAAAAGTTTGAGACCATTTTCCCAGAATGTGAAGTTAGACATCTTTAAAATGAATGAGAAATTACTAAGAAAAACATAAACGTATAGATTTTTTTAAACATGTATGTTGTTTTAATAGACTTTCAGAAATTAATTAAATATATAACGTTACATGTTAACACATAATTTTTTACATAGAACACATATACTTGTGACATGTTGCGAGCATTTGTGTTCTATGTTAAATTTCAGCACATGCATATTTTTAATATATGTACATATACAAATTTTACCATGGGAATTTCAAATATGTTATAGACTTATAACTTTATATACCCAGAGGATGTATATGTGTGATAATGATATATCCCCTTATAAGTGACATATATAGCAACACCACTCTTGATATATAAGGACATATTACATTTCCGTATGGGTGGTAGGGGAGCTGCTGGACTGCTTTTCTCACCAAGCAGTCAGGCTCTTGAACGCTGCCCCCATCTATTGTCTATACCTTGCTTTAACCACTCCTCCCCCCACAGGCACACACAACACACATACATCCTTATCACACTGTATTCATGGGGAAACATCATTGACATAATGCATTCCCTAGCCATCTAAACTCAATCCCCTCACCCCCCCCGGACTGATACAAATTCCCACCCACCACCTCCCTCTAAAACCACTTTATTGGACAGTTTACTTATTGCTTAGTTGCACAAGATCCTCGTTGTCTACATGGGGTTCATATAAAGTCTACATTTTTTACACTATATATCATTACACCTAATTTATATCTTATAACATCATATTTACATCTTTACACTAGATTTATATCTACATCTTTTTTATCTATATTTAGTCATTGCACAGTTTTTTATACTTTACTATATATAGGAGGTAGTAAGCAGTGTGTATGATGTGACGATGTAGTATGTTTATCTATTAAAACAGTGTTTTCTATGTTCTACCTGTTTATGTTGCACCCTATGGTCCAAGGAGAATATGATTTTGCTTTGTACTGTACTGTAAATGGTCGTGATAACAATAAAGCTCTACTTGACTTGATCATTTGGGTCTGTAGGAAATTGTTTAGAGTACCTTGGTGTCAGAAAAGGAAGAGGGGACTTACTGCTTCACTAGCTGCTCCAAACACTTGTCGGTGCAGCAGAGTCGTAGTTACTTAGGCAGGTGACTGTCCTCTTGAGAGAGGTTGGGACCACAGAAGCTTTAGGGAGAGGTTGAAAATGAGTTCCTGCCCTGGGATGACATTGGGTCCTTGTGCTAGGTAGGTATAGAAAATATCAAATGACAAAAGGAGAACAAATAAAGACTCATGAAGAAATCAAACAAAACTGGCTTCACCTGACCCTGTTTGTACTGTGTGACTGGCTGTGGGATTATGACTGTGGGTATGTCTTGGGTGTGTAAATTGTTTTTGTGCTTAGTTTAATGTGTTTTATTTTGTTCCTCAAGATCTCCATCGTCTCTATGGTACATAATCAAGACAACCATGACTGAGACATGACAAATGTTATTTGGTCGGATTAATTAAAGAATTACATAAATATACACTGTCTAATGATTGTCTTTTATTATTTTTCCCACACTTTCTTGTATCTTTCATTCTTTGCGGAGGTTTAGTTATTGATCTTTTTCATATTTTTTCCCACACTATAGTTTTTTCCTCAATAGTCCCAATATATTTACAGTAAGGTTTATGTTTTGAAATGATAACTTCTTGGATAAAACCTTATGTCTCTTAAGTTATAGCTATAGTTGTCTTTGATATTGAGAGAGGCTATGACTCTTTGTGGTGAGAAGGTCTTTTAACTAAAATGAACAAGGTAGGCATAGGTAGAAGGTTAAGCCATCACTCCAACATGATTAAATACTATGATTAAAAATATTTTTGAAAAAAATACAGGAACATTTATACAATCCTCACTGTATGCAGATGATGGAGGAATTTGAAAAATGTCTCATACAGTATGTGATTGAAAGTCAACAGAAAGCAATAGTAAGTGTGAAGCAGTGGTTCCCAACCTGTGAGATGGGGCCCACTGATGGGTCGTGAAGGTATTGCAAGTATATCTATATCTACATCTATACTGTATAAATGTATGTATGTATGTATGTATGTATATATATCAAAAATTGAAAAACTCCTTTCATTGTTGTTTTTCTTGATTTAGACCTATCACTGTGATAAGCCAATGAAAGGAATTTTGCTGCCGTACCACATTGTACACTTGTTTGCTATTGCAGGCTGATTGCATTGCATGCCTGCTCATGAGAGATTACATTCATGGCAACAAAGGACTATCACAAATAGATAACTGATTAGCAACAGGAAGAATTAAAAGGAAATGGAGTCAAAAGACAAACGGTGAATTGACAAGTGATTGCTCTACTTTCAGTTCAATTCTGAATGTTTGATTGTTATCATTAAAATTAAAAGTGCTCTAAGAACGAGTTATTTGGCCTCCGTATTACATGTTACGGGGTTGGATATGGGCCATCAACATTCTTAAGATTTTCAAGTTGGCCATGAATTGGAAAGGGTTGGGAACTGCTGGTGTAGAGAGATAGTCCGATGAGGGGAGACATGCTACATGCTAAAACTTAGTAGATATTAGATAATGGAGAGAAGTTAACACGATATAACAAGCCCATGGAAAAAGTTTGAGAGTTGCATGGTTCATGACGTGGCAACAAAAACTAGACAAGATGCAATACAGAGCATTAAGACTTAGTTTGGGAGCAGTTAAAACCTCGGCCATTAACTATCACTAGTTGAGGTCAGTGAATTGCCATCAGATCTGAGGAGAATGAGGCTGTCATTAACATATTAGATAAGAAGTCAGGGAGGAGGAACTGGATACTTAGCTTCAGCTGGTCTGTAGAAAAAATAAACTGGTTAAAGGAGTGCCAAACTAAATATCTTAGAAATTAGTTTTCAGAGCACAGAAGCAAAATCATCTATTCATTACAGAATAATGGAATCATGGCAGGAAATGTGGGATAACAGTTGTGAGAAGCAACAGAAGTAAATGTAGGGAGGAAGCTATCATTTTACAGCACACAGGACTAAATGCCACATTTTTCATAATGGAAAAAGACAGCTTCAGATAAATACACAACTGCTAACTGTAAGGAAACTGTAAAGCATACACTGATAGGAAGTTCAATAGTGAAAGAGAAAGACTGAAGGATAGACTGATAGCTGTGGGAAGGGGACAAACAAGCACAAGTTCAAAGGGCTTCATATAAATATTTAAAGGAAACAGGTCTAATATCCACTATATAAACTCCTACAGTCCTGATGTTACACACTCCGGTACAGCAGGGGGCGACGTGCGCCTTTCACGCCGGTTTGTAGCCCGCCATTAATATCAAGGAGGAGGAAGACGTGAGCGAAGCGTTTGTTCCGGGCAGCAGCGTGTTTGCAGTTTTGCTGCAAAAATTAAAAGCCAGTAACGTCTGTTGTTGGCCTCGACATGGTGAAATTATCCGCGGAGCTAATTGAGCAGGCTGCTCAGTATACCAACCCCGTGAGAGACAGGGAGCTGGATTTACGAGGTAAGTTTAACTTTGTTCTTGGAGATGTTAAGTTAGCTTGCTCAGGCTACATGCAGGCCTCACACCGCGCTCCATTCAAAAACTTGACAAATGAAGTCTTGTACTTTTTGATACGACCAGCAAAGTGACTTTAATGCGGGTTCAGGTTAATTTAGTTTACTGCGTAGCTGTTGGTTACAACAGAGCGGTAGGTAAGGGTCTGAAAGGGACTGAACTACGTTACCAAAATGTTAAGCTTCAGCTTTGCCAGCCAAAGGACAGCTGATACAAAGGCGATGGGATAGAAAGAATAAAGTAAAAACATTTCGCAAAAAACTTTTCTATTTAGCGTGCACTGCTTAATATGAAGTAGATAGTTCTTTGTTGATATCATTAATAAATGTTTTTTCTTTCAATAGCCTCCAATTCATGTGACCCAGTCGTTCAAAGCCTGTGAATCACATCATCACAGCTTTGTTTATTAATTAGGAATATTTTTTTCATTGCCTAAGTACTATTGGTTCAATGTCATGTGACCTGCTTGTTCAAAATCAACATGAAACAAAAAATCCATGGCTCACATGGGGCTCACCACTAATAATTGCCATAAATGCTTGCTTAATTTAATCCACCAAAGATGCTTTTTATGACCAATAAATGTTTTGTGGCATTTATTTATGTTAAATATTCAAGATCATGTTTGAATACTTACTTGACCACATGTCCTTAATCCAGTCTGATCCACTATGTCAGTGGTGACACAGGCTCAAATGAGGGGAATCCTCTCAGATTTAGGGCAGTTAACAGCCCAACACTTTGTGCCATAGAAATGACTGCACTTCTAAACTAAATGAAAATGTTACTTGAGATGGCAAAGTGCTGGAACTGAGTAGAATGAAATAGTTATTAACACCTCACTACATTGTTTGCTGGGAAATAGAAAAAATTATAAATCAATGATAAATGGAAAGAAAATGGGGATAATTCATCCCATAAAGTCCTTGTAGACCTGGTGATGATATGTGCTAAACTGATGTTTACAAAGCAGCCTGGAGCCCTGTGAGAATATTGCCAGGACAAAGCTACTGTCCTGGACACTGTAATTCTAACCCAGTTTTGAATATGTAGCATACAAATGAAAAGGCGAACAAACTATGAATAAGTTAGTAAGCCAGTCTTATCTATGTTTTTAATAGAAGAATGAAGACATTGAATTTTGTTTGTTATTTTTCCCCCTTGAACCCCTGAGGCCAGGTACTACAAAGCAGGATTTGAGGTTATCGAGGTAACTTCAGGTTAAACTCTGGGTTTTCAGTCCTAAGACCTAGAGTTTACAATAAAGTGATCAATAATAACGAGCAGTAGATGTAAAATATAAATCAGTCGAATAGATTCCCTTTTTGAGTCTTTCCATGTGTCCACTCTGGTGTTAAGATAAAGCTTCTAGAAATATTACACTAAATAAGCCAATATAATAACTATTATAGCTTCATTTTAATTGAACAGATATTCTTTAATCCGACAGGATTCCTGACAGAGATGAAGCTTTTACTGTCTTCTTCATCACTGCAGCTCAGAATAACATGAGGAGACTCTGAGACCACAACTGGAAATAAGAACGAAACCTCTGATTTCTTTGATTCGAAAAATTAGCCACATACTGTTAATTATTTCCATGATTGTGAGTTAACATTTCAGTCGGTCTGACTCATCAGACATCAACTACTTCTCTCTTCTCAGAAAAGGTCTGACATTAACTTCTTTTAACTTTAACATTTTATCTACATCTCATGTTCATAAGTTTGTTCATCATCAGGCAAAAGAGCAAAAATACTCAAATGTAATGATAATTCATGCACTTAATTACAATATATTTTAGTCAGACTTTACAAATTATATTTAGACATTGAAATAATATATTTTTTTATTCCAGTCATGTGATCATTTTATTCACATTTCACCTTGTTGAATGTCACTTGTGGAAGTGGACACAACTGAACTTACCGGCAGGTTTCAGTGTTTCTTCTCAAATCATATTTAGTACTTCATTCGTGGTTCAGACGATGTTGGTTTATAATGAACAACTCTGCCTCTTTCACATGAACGCGCTCGTAGCCTGATAGGTAAACCCAGGGTTAACTGAGCCAGTTGATAACCAGCTTCATAGTACAGGTTATCCAGGACGGTCAATGTTAGGTTTAGTTAACCCAGACAACTAAAAGTTATCCTGGGTATGTTGAACTTGCTTTGTAGTACAGGCCTCTGGTGTTGTATCACTTTTGTGTTGTCAACTAGAGACACTATTGTACCATTATACCCATTTTTATGGAAAAACCTTTTTAAACTCATTCCCACAGCTCAAGGTACTCCACTGTATACTAATATTGAAATCTCTGTATCTATTTATCCTACATCATACTGATCTCTAATGATTTTTCAAGTGCAACAGAAGTTCCTCCTCAGCAGTCATCTCTTTTTCATGTGACAGGTTATAAAATCCCAGTGCTTGAAAATCTTGGAGCAACACTGGACCAGTTTGACACTATAGATTTCTCTGATAATGAAGTCAGAAAACTGGATGGCTTCCCTCTGCTCAAAAGACTGAAAACACTTCTAATGAACAACAACAGGATTTGGTAAGTTAAAGCTGCAGCACCCTCCAGTGTCTTAAATGCAAAAAATTCAATATGATGTTCCAGTTAAAGACAAACATGTTGATTTTTCACACTTAAATTAATCATGGAGCATTTCAGTGCTTCCAGATTAAACATGGGATTGTTATTCATATTTAAGTGGTTTAGTTCTTAAGTATGCTCAAGTCTAATGGGTTTGATATTGTACTTGCTGTTCAACAAATGTATTCCCATTTGGAGCACACATGAAAGTTTCTCCTCCCGAACTTTCAGTATTAATTACAGCTCCAAGTTTCTTTGTGGTTTGTCCTCCTCTTACAGACTCAGTGTATGAATCAATCAGATCAATCTTAAAAGAAGTTGCTGTTAGTGTTATGTTGTCATCCTTGTAGTGCAGTCTGTGGGGTGTTTAAAATGTTTTCTCGTGACCTAACCTTGTGACACACATACAGCCCGGTGTATTTGTATTTATAAGTGGACTGTTACAAACAAAGCTTTCTATCCAGGCAGAAGTCTCATTTAATATGACCTGATTTGATGTGTAATAGGATTGGTAATGTGCTGACATTACAAACACCTTGATGTAATTTTTCACTGGATAAAATAATAGGATTATGGCTTTTTCTTCATTTCATTCATGGGATTAATTAAATTCCCATATAACTGATAGTGTGGTGGCTTTGTGAAGTGGGAACACGGCAGGTATTTTACTAATACAGTCTGTGACAAATATGACAACTTAGTTTGTTTTCATCTGGTGTGAATAGAGCATTGGCTGCTAGCTTATTGCTTACAGACACTGTGTTTAATGTAGTTAGGCTAAGTTCACACAACAGGCCCAACAGGCCCCTGTTGCCAGACAGTATAACCAGATGCCGACCAATGGTCGTACAGATTGTACTTATTGCCTCAGCAGAACTTATTGCAACACAGGCACATCAAAGAAGCCTCTTTTCAACACAGTTTTTTGGACTGAATGCTCATTAGCTCACACATTAGCTAACACAGACACTGCAGACGCTCAGTAAGTCTATATGTATGCTTTATGAGATGGTACAAACGACTGTAGATAATGTCAGATCGTTTTAATGAAGTGCTGCCTTTGTTAAATTGATCACAGTGTACTTGGCCAGTCAGTATATCGCTGCATGCTTGTAACCTTCTGAAACTTTTTCTCCAGTCGCATAGGTGAGAATCTGGAGCAGTCTCTGCCAGGTCTGACAGAACTGGTCCTCACAAACAACAACATTCAGGAGCTCGTGAGTACATTCATAGTTTTTATATTTGTGATCAATGTGGTGAATATAATCTTTACTGATTTAAACTGACATACAAGAGAAATAGAAATTCCTCTACAGTCTGCAGCCCTTTTATAATTCTTCTCAGTGAAGGTTATTGTGATTTTTGTTGATTCAAATCTGACATATTTTTGGAGTGATTCCATCAACGTGCAAAATTTTATTATAGCAGTACAACTACAGCCTCCAAAACCACTGCTGCGTTGATTTTACACCTGTCTCTGCCAGCGGCAACAAAAACTAAGATCATCTACATAAGGGTAGAACTTGTGTTCAGGATGTTGTGTCGGGTTGAATTTCACAGGTTCTCTGGTATTAGTGTATTAAGTTGCTCCTGTTAACTTCACTCATCTGGACCAATGCTTTTTATTAAAGGAGCTATTTGTTTTGCTATTGCTACATAGCCAGCGATAGCACTAAAAGCTGTTCACTTACCAGTCAAGAAGAAACATTGTGAGTTCAACATCAAACTTAATTCCTTTGCTCACCAACAGCTGTCTCCAGAGGTGGAAACAAACATCAATGTTAACTCTTGTCTCTATCACGACTTTTTCTTCTACTGAAGTTAGCACGCTAACCAGCTAGCTCAGGTCTGTGTCGTCATTTTCCGATAGAGACTCACTGTAGCTTCTGATCTGCCCTGAAGATGTAGCGCTGAACCGAGGACGTATTATAACCTCTACCACTATAGCTCTTGTCAAGTGACGGTCACCATCACCTGCTCCCAGCAAGAGAAAATTTACAAATAGCCCCTTTGATTAAGCTCCACTAAATTACTCTAATGTGCCTTCACAGGTAGTAACGTACCAACACTCTGGAAACTTAACCTGCCTCTTTTACCGTACTGTTTTTCTACATGGTTGCTCTTTTTCTGTGTAGGGTGACCTGGACCCACTGGCCTCGGTGAAGACATTGAACCTTCTCAGGTATGAATCATCAGTACTCAAACATAATCAGATTATTGAACTGCCTTGTGCAACCACTTAATTATGAGTGTACTTGTTTGTAATAATTTCAGCCTGTTAAGGAATCCAGTGACAAACAAGAAGCATTACAGGCTCTATGTCATCAGCAAAATCCCACAGATCCGTGTGCTTGACTTCCAGAAGGTGAAGCTCAAGGTAAGTGCAAATGAGCAGGTATACTGTGCCAGTTTTTAAGTCTCAATTAAATGTGGATTAATGTGGGATACAGGGCCCTTCAGTGACCCTGCACAGTATTTCAAGGGCTGGCATCAGGTGTTAGTCATGGATCATATGTATTGGAGATGGAAGCTAAAACACCTTTAACCGTTGCATTTCTAACAATCTTGTTACAACCTGTTGAACATCCAAAGGAGTTGTGGTGAATTGTGCATGTTCCTGCCTGGCCTTGCCCCCCACCCCCCGATGATCGCTCAGTCTGTGATTAACAAGGGTTTTCAATTTAACTGTGTGATATCGTCATAGGAACGCCAGGAGGCGGAGAAAATGTTCAAAGGCAAACGAGGTGCTCAACTTGCAAAGGATATTGCCAGGCGAACAAAAACGTAAGACAAAAGTCCTCGTCAGACAGCAGCTCCTCTGAACCGCTGGATCCTGGCTGATGGAACGGGTTAAACAAACAGTCACCACCTGTCAGATACAGTATATTTGTGAGAATACACTGTGATAAACGGGTGGGATTGGCTATATTTTTTTGTTTTGGCTATGTCTTTGTGATTCATAACAAACTCCTAAAATTATAGAACATACAGTCCAGACCATCAGTATTTGGACAGTTTTAATATTCTTTGTTGTTCAGACTCTGATTCAGCACATTCAATTTGAAATAACTGGACTACACAGCCAGCCAAGAATGCTCTCCAGGATGTAGGCAGACATGTTTTTTTTTTTTTGTTGTTTTTTTTTGTCAGCGGTCATGAGCCATAACCTCAGGACTCACTCAGCACAAGATGCAAACCACTGGTAAACCTCAAAAACGGAAAGATCAGGTTGCATTTTGCAAAAACAAGAAGCTGGAAGAGTTCTTCAACACAGTTGTATGGACTGATGAAACAAAAACCAACCTCTATCAAATTAATGGAAAGAGGAACAGCTCATGACCCAAAGCTGCCACCTCATCTGTGGTTCTGTTGTGACTTGGGCCTGTATGGCTGCAAATAAAACTGGCACACTGGTGTTTGTTTGATGAACGCAGAGGTTTACAGGAGCATTCTGCGCTCGGATTCAGCCAAATGCATAAAACTCATTGGACAACATTTCATCATTCAGCAGGACAATGATTCTAAACATACAGCCCAAGCAACCAGAGCAGGGTGGAGAGGTTGAATTCAAATTAATTTTCAACCCATAAACTCTGATAACTATGTGATAAAGGGACTATGTCTCTCACACAGGTCTACTCAAATTAAAGCTTAGACTTGGTAATTAGGCATGTTAATTTAGAGTAGTCTCCATTATTTTGTTTCAAATTGTATGTGCTGGAGCAAAGTCTGAAGAACAAAGGAAAAGGAAAGCTAAGGAAATTATTTTTAAAAATCTGGTGTCTGCACTAAAAGATCATCACTTGTTCTGTGTGCCAGCAATCAGAAATCAAAATCATACCTCCCTTAGTGGAAGTAATAACTGTATGAATGGACCTGAACCGTTACAACCTGAAGCCAGTAACGTTCACCACAGTGTTGCTCAGGACTGCTGTCTTTGGACAATGTATCAGTTTATTTGACTAAAGAAAAGACACTACACATGAGATTAACTACACTGGTTGAGAGGTCAGAGAAGCCGTGTTCGTCCATGTTGTCTAAATGACGTGTTCCTTTCAGATTCACTCCTGGAGTGGCAGCACAGCTTGAGAAGAAGAGGACGGGGCCGTCACAAGCAGACGTGGAAGCTGTCAAGGTTCACTTGTTTATTTGAAAAATGTTGGCACTGGGTTTATGGGGTGCTTAGATTCTGACAGCAGTTTTTCATTTACATCCTTCTGTCATCCAGGATGTGACAAGGGTCTGAGCTGGGCTTTTTCTGGAGCTTGCAATCACATTTTACAGTCTTCCTTTGAGGATGGAGTTTACTCAGTGGTCATCAAGTATCTGAAATATTAAAGAGGCGGTTTGTTAATGGTCTGCGTCCTTGACCAAAGATGGGGGTTGTAATTCAAGTAACTCCATGATAACTGGGCAGTCTCAACCCACTTATGAAGAACAGTGAGATGTTGTTAAAAGCCCCTGAAAAAGCCAGTAAGGGAACCTTGACTGAAGACTGTTTTTGTCAAACTACAGTGTGAAGAATGAACATTTATGCTGAAGTTTCAACTTTGTCATATTTGACTCTTGATATGATGGTCACAATGTGGCTTTGAAGCTTGTTCTAACTGATGTATGATTTAAATAATCACCTTTACTTAGTAGTTGTCATAAAACCACGGTGGAGATGAAGCGTCACTGATGTACTAACTAACCTGGATGAAGATTCAGATCTCTAGCTGTGAATTTGCAGAATGTAAAGGGATGAACAGAGTTTATCAGACCACTGTGTAGATCCACTGTGGTTTACCTGAGTGTGTTTGTCTTTCAGAATGCCATCGCCAACGCTTCATCACTGGCAGAGGTGGAGAGGTTGAAAGGGATGCTGCAGGCCGGTCAGATCCCAGGCAGAGATCTCAGACAAGGTCGGTGCTCAGCAATTACCAGACCTTGACCGATGCTGTAGAAGCTGGTGAACTTTAGACTGTATCATTTTGTTTGTATAGACACATTAGTCAGGATTCCTTACACTGGGTTTTTCAGTTGTGACAAAAATCCATACTGAGGCAGTGATAATAGTAATTGGTAGTAGTAGTTTTAACCACCTATAATAAAAACACTGAACCAGCAATTAATTCATCCTGCTAACAAGCATTGAGCCTGATATATTGTATTCCTCTGTCCCATAGGGTTCAATTGTTGTTCAAAAACTATTGAAAACACATTAGGGAACCACACAGTTGCACTGGTTGACATGTTCTTTCATTACCATGAAGACACGCTGGTTTATTTTGATTCAGTCCACATACACCACCCTTCAGAAGCTTAATGCATTCACTTGAGAAAAAAAATCTGCTGTATTTCTGAATTAACAAGATTATCCCAAAATTCTGAGATATGACCTTGTTAATTCAGAAAAAACAGCATATTTCTTTCTCAAGTGAATGCATTAAGCTTCCCTACCACCCTGCTGCTGCAAATGATCAGTGGAGCACCAAGGATTAATCTGCCACTGAAAATACCCCCCCAACAAATACACTATTAACTCATATTTGAGTAATGATTGCTAAAAATGACATGTGTCCAGCTGTTATGGAAAGTTACTGGGGCGTCAAAAAACTGTGAACTGTTTTCAGTTGAAACTGGTGAACTTGGGGCTTACAAAGAAAAGTATGGGATAACACCAGCCTTACACTATGTTTTTCTTTTTTAACCTCACTGTCTTTTGATGGATGGATGAATTGTATCATTTGTAAAATCAGGTCCAGCTGGGATGGTGGAGGAGGAGGAGGAAGAAGAAGAGGAAGATGCTGAACAGATGGCAGCACACATGGGTGGAGATGCTGGAGAGGAGATGAATGAGGGAGATCAAGAAGAGGAGGATGAAGATATGGAAGAAGAGCCACATGTTAATGGCTCCTGAGTACCCTGAAAGCATTTTCGTTGTTGTTTCCATGTTGTTTAATTTCTTGTGTTGCATATACAATTACCAGGGCTGTTTTTTTATTTTGTAAATTGACACACATTAAACAGATTTTTTTTCTTAGATCAGAATCTTTTTATTGAGGTTTTGCAGAGTGTATTAACAACAGCTGACACTAATGAAAACATGTAAACACCGATGAACATAACCAAAACTTAACAGATGTTTAATGTCGCTGTGAGTGGGACGACTTCCTTTTAAGCAGTCAGTTGACGTTCTCGGCTGAATGCAGTCCACCTACAGTACATGGTCTCTAAATGTCATATTTTAAAAGGGTGTTGCACTTCTAAAAAAGAGATGGATTGAAAATGGTCAAAATTGAAATCATAGTCTGGGATTTCCTGGCTTTTAGTCAGTAGATGGATCGTATTTCATGAAGCGCTGGATCCTACAGTTCCCATAATGCAACCAATAGTGTCGTTCAGTTTCACACACCTGACAGACAAATCCACCGATGTCAGCTCTAGCAGTAGCTGTTCACACCAGAAGTGAATTTCTCCACGTGGGTCAGCAAGTGATTCTGCTCTTTTTAAATCATACGTTCTTCCTCTGTCTGCTTGTGTGTGTAAACTTCTATGTTTGTGAGGACCATTTTAAGTTATGGACCTAATGGAGTGAGGGCATGTTGGCCAGTCCTTATAACTTCAAAAGGCTGTTTGAGAGTTAAAACTTGTTTTTCAGGTTAGAATCCAGTTTAGGGTAAAATAAGATTATCCTTCATTAGTCCCACAGTGGGGAAATTTGGTGTGTTACATACAGTACAAAAAAGAAAACTGCAGAATGTCAATATGAAATACTTAAAAAAAAAAAAAAAAAAAATAAGGATAAATGATATATAGATATATACAATTAGATATTTAAATAAAACAAAAATAGCTGCAGATGAGCACAGTGCACAGTTGGTGTGTGTTAAATATTGCACATGGGGAGCAGCAGGAAGGAAAGACCTGCAGTATCTCTCATTCACACTGAGGGTGCAGCAGCCTGTCGCTGAGGAGCTGCTCAGAGTCCTGCATGAGGTGGGAAAAGTTCTCCACCACAGGGATGATCACTTGCTGCCCCAGCAGACCACAGCATAGAAACTGTCTGATCCCACCAGAGCCATAAAAGGTCATCAGGCGTAGGAGTACACTCCAAAAGACCCCAGTCTCCTAGAGTTAGGCATTTAATTGTTATGGTTAAAGTTAGGGAGCTGATAACTTTTTTGGAATTGCAATTCCACGGTTTGTTTCCCATTCCAAAATGGGTGGCAATACTTAGTTTAGAATTGCACTTTGGGAATAAAAATTACCATCAGGAGGTGCTAAACAAAAGTGTAAAAAACGTTTATTGGAATCTCTAGCGATTGAAGAAGATTCACCGACTGATTTCACATGTGATATCTGTATTCCAGAGATGGTATATAGTCGCTTATACAACACAGCTCAGCTGCAATTGTCTTCGGTACTCTGCCTGCGGCCTCGTATCTATGACTATCTACCTATGACCAAATCACAGCCGTGCTGATATTCAGTACATCACTCCCTCTTGCGTGATATTGTTTCAATAATTCCAATTATAAAATTTTAATCTCAGATTCCGAGAATATTGATGTAATTCATGACCTGACCGGGCCTTCCAAATGGCAAATTATATTTCCTAAATGCTGCATTGAAAAGCATTGGCAGCTGTTCCAAGAGGTGTAGCTACATGATTCTCTAAACAGCAGTATCACAACTAAAATACGTGAACATGTTAGATTACTGAACTCTTTCACTAAATGTTGTTCTAGGATTACTGACTTGACTTGAATATGAGCAAAGCAGGAGAAGCAGTCAGCAGGTTCAATTAAAAAGTATTTCATCATTTGCTTGCAGTCAGTCTGAGTTGAGTGGTTATATTTCTACAAACAAAAAGTGTATGTAGAGGTCAATTTTATAGCATATTATCTTGAACAAAGATATCAGTCAACAAAATTATATCAAATTGGAACAAATCATGCTGAACATACAGGAAAAGCAACAGCTTGCAGAACCGTCAGAGAAGTGGCTATAGCACTTAAATGGCGACTTCACACTTTCTTGGTTTTCCCTGGTCACAAACCTGCGAGGACCATCAAAGAGGAATTTCACAGGATTGCAGGTGACTGATGTTGAAATAATTGAGTTGAAAGTAATAATCAATATTTTTAAATTATAATCTGTTAATGACATTGTGCTGCAACCTCAGACTAGGATCAGTAATTCGTTTTTATGTTGCGAGGTTTCCTATCATCATGGGCTGCATTGATGGCACACACATGCCTTACTCCTATCACTGCTCCTTCACTTAATGAAGGAGACTATTTGAATAGGAAGTCTTTCCACAGTATGAATGTGCAGTTATTGACTACTGTCTTAACAATATCAGAAAGTAGAACTCACAATACACTGATCAGCCATAACATTATGACCATCTGCCTAATATTGTGTAGGTCTTTTTTTGCCGCCAAAACAGCTCTGATCTGTCGAGGTGTGGACTCCACAAGACCTCTGAAGGTGTGCTGTGGTATCTGGTACCAAGACATTAGCAGCAGATCCTTTAAGTCCTGTAAATTGTGAGGCGGGGCCTCCATAGATCGGACTCCAGCATCCCACAGATGCTCGACTGGATTGAGATCTGAGGAATTTGGAGGCCAAGTCAACACCTCGAACTTGTTGTGTTCCTCAAACCATTCCTCAACCATTGTTGCAGTGTGGCAGGGCGCATTATCTCAGCAGAGAGAGACCACTGCCATTAGGGAATACTGTTTCCACGAAGGAGTGTACTTGGTCCACAACAATGTTTAGGTAGGTGGTATGTGTCAAAGTAACATCCACATGAATGGTAGGACCCAAGGTTTCCCAGGAGAACATTGCCCAAAGCATCACACTGTCTCCGCTGGCTCGCCTTCTCCCATAGTGCATCTCTTCCGTGGGTAAGCGACGCTCACCCACCTGGCCGTCCACATGATGTAAAAGATGATGGGAGTCATCAGATCAGGCTACCTTCTTCCATTGGTCCGTGGTCCAGTTCTGATTCTCACGTGCCCTTTGTAGGTGCTTTCGGCAGTGGACGGGTCAGCGTGGACACTCTGACTGGTCTGCAGCTACGCAGCTCCATACACATCAAGTGTTGCACTGCGTGTTGTGACTCCTTTCTATCAGAATCAGCATGAACTTTTTCAGGCATTTGTGCTACAGTTGTGGGATCAGACAACATGGGCTATCCTTCACTCCCCACGCACATCAGTGAGCCTTTGGGTATACTACAACAAATATAATTTCACTCATTCTCTGCACTGTCAAGATCACGTGATGCATCATCACTAATGTTGAAGCCAAGTGGCCAGGCTCTGTGCATGTCCTGCATGTATTGTGAGTGTAACCTGAGCAACAGATGTGCACAGAGTTAAGTCAAGCTTTGTGCAAATATAAAGCCTGCATCTCTTTTAAATAGACTCAAAATCTATTTTCTATACAATTACAGGAGAGTTTGAAGGCCCCCTGATTGGTGACACCTAACTTATCCATTATAATCTGTGTATTAAATTAGTATTGCATTAGTACATTGTGTGGTTTCTTAGCTGTGATCCACCAAACACCTCAACATGATGGCTGCTAGTCTAGTACTAATATAATCTAGGGAACCAAATCTTATGAATACCTTAATCATACACTTGGACCTGGATGTCAAATATTCCATAGGTATTAAAATAAAAATAACAAAAATAACCTTATGCCACCCAGCTGTTGTCAGAGGTTTGCAGTCTATCCATTTCAGCATAATATTATTTTTGTCTATAATGTGTACCGTGAAGTTGTGTGTCTGGCAGCCCAAACAATAAGCACACCTGTTTCAGTTCAATGTCAAGAATTAGACATATTGTATCCACTATATTTTCCCAAAATTAACCTATATTGTACTAAGCTTCAAGCTGGGGAGTAATCTCCAGACGGTGTAGTGGTCTAAGTTGAGTTTCTCTCGTCCTATTAGAACAGACATTCTTTGCTGATTTCCACATTTGTATCCAGGTTGCTTCATCAACATCTATATCCGACCATGTTGCAGAAGACAGGGGTTTTTGACCATCTTCAGAAGCACCAGAGTTGGCTGAGGCAGCAAAGGAGCTGAATCTCACCACAGAAAACATTGGAATCATGGAAGGCTGAGGAAACTGTGTGTATACCTCTGAGACTTCTACCAGAAGGACTGCTGAAATGATAGTACTATAGAAAAACGTTGCACAGCATTTAATACCTTGTTATCATTCCCTATATTGCTTTGTAGTATAGTGTCTTGACTTAATGTTTCATTAATGGTCTTATTGTGAAGCACTGTTAAAGATGTGACAAATTTCCTAACAAATAAGGTCATTTATGTTCAAACCATTAGCTTTACTCTTTCCCAGAGAAGAAATGCCCCAGAAGACACTCCCATGCCCTTCGTGGCTTGTCCTACAAGTGTCTGTGCGCCGGCACCTGATAAAATGTCATCATGTCCAAAACCGGAGTGAATTGCATATAATTCTGAATTATGCCTCTGCAAAGTGAGTCATTTTCATTCAATATGAAGAAAACATTGTCCTTAAATGTGCACTCAGCTGTTCATTAGTTCTTGTTTTTTTAATATTGGACGGTTGTTATTTTAAATTCAGTCATAATGGCAGGCTGGAGTGTCCAGTCTGTCATTCGAAAAACCTGGTTCAACTGGACAAACATCTGGAGAATGTCCACAGTGACATCAAGGTTAGTACTTTTTTAGTTAGAAATTGACTGAGGAAGTAGATGGCAAATGCATGTGTTTAGTCCTGAGCTTTTAAATAACTGTCCTTAAATGTTCATGCTATCCCAAAGATATCAGTACATTGGCATTGTTAGGAAAGCCAAGCAGAGGACCAAATTGTTAGACCTGAGGGAGCTGAGGAGATCAAATCCCATCTGTCACTGGTCAGCTCATTGGGCCTGCAGCAGCTGAGCTGCAGCAGCGATGAGGAAGAGGGGAGTGGTGTGAAGGAGAAGACTCTTTGGACAATTTGAATAGACTTTATGTGATTGTCTACCTTG